GGGCCCCTTCACTCTACCTCTGCTCCTCTCTCTTTTACATACATACATATATATGTACATCTCTTATACATATATACAAACGTCACATGCTTATTTACACACTTTAAAACTTGTTTCTTTTTTACTGTGTAAACCAAATTCTAGAACCACACCTCGCTTAAAATTTTTTAATGTATTTTTTGTTTTTCTTAAGTCATAAATATACATTTAATTAAATTATTTAACAACAATAATGCGAAATGCAAATTCAATATGTCTGCTACAATATCTTTCCTTCGCTCTCTCTTTCTCTCTCTCGCTCTTCCCATCTCTCATTTACCCTTTTTTGCTGCAGCGAACAAAGAAGAAATTAAATTCGGCACGTTAAAAAAAACGGCGAAAGAAAAAAAAACACTTGTGCATGCCGCCTCTTTTTTTCGGTATCGAATTATTCATTGTATGCATGTGTGTGTGAGTGTGTGTGCATGTATTTATTTTGAGGTTTTCACAAATTTTTGTGTATTGAGTGTGGTTGTTGTTTTTTTGTTGCGGCGATCCCGGCGACAAAACGAAAAAACAACACGATCCCCCAGTTTGGCAGCAGCAGCAGCTGAAATTTCGACTCTGACTGGAAGCTTCACATTTCTTTTTACAAACACACACACACATGTCTGTATACACATATACATTTTTGTGTGTGTGTAAACATGTTCACTTTGTTTTCGGATTTCTTTTCTTTACATTTTTCGAAAATACATACGAAAATACAAAATGTATTATCGTCATGAGCTTTCCGTAAGGTTGTTGACCCTTCTGGATGGCGAGCGCGGAATGAGGTTGCTTTGTCGCCGCTTGGACTTGCGCTGAGCTATCAAAATGTAAATGAAATTTTGTCATTTTGTAACTGAAATCAACAAAAAATGCCTAGCATATGCACTATTCTAGATTATTTAACAAGCTCTTTAAAAAAGTATGCAATGCAAATTTTGCAACGCTCACACACACACATAGGCATGCACATAGAAGAACACCCTAGTAGAAAACTGCACGGCGCTGTAAGCGTCGACAGCAACAACGACGTCGACGCGACGCTAACGTCAGCTGCAGACAACACACAAGAGCAGCGGCAGCAATTCAATCTCACACTCCGCGCACAGCGTTCTCTCACACTCTCTCGCCTGCATATCGCTCGTGTGCTTCGTTCGTCGTTTTGTCATGAACTTGAACTACACGTGGAGGGCGTGCAAGTGTTTTCGACAGCACATTGCCTGGTGGCTGGCGTTTTTACATTGGTTCTGTGTATGCGGCCGTAAGGAGGCTGTGCATAAGTTTTCAACAGCCTCAGCCAGCAGCAATGCGCAACTGTGCGTGTGTCTGCTTGTGTGAGCTCGTTTGTGCAGTGAGTAAGCACGTTGTGTGTTTGTTGTTGTTCTTGCTACTGATTGCAGGCTGAACAGTGGGCGGATGGGAAGGTGACTGGAAAGCGAGGCTGTCAATTGAAAGGGAACCGCTTGCACATGGGGCTGCTGCCATTGCCATTGCGAAAGTGAAAATTGTGAGGGTTGTTTTTGCTGACAGCCTTGATTTCCTTTCGCCTTCTACCTTGACATGAAAATATTTAATTTCACCAAACTATCGCAAAAAGCAACATAAATCTATATATGTATGTATGTATGTAAATATTATAAAGATTGTAATTACAATGACAACTGGTGTCAGTTTTTCGATTATCTATTGGAAAAGTGTAGAGTCATGCTGTTATGAGAAATGGAATATTAAAGTTATTATATTAATTTGCACACGCGCCGTTCATAGACGGCCTACCCACCCCCGTCTGCTGTCTATTAGAACGCGCTCAGCGCTCAAAACGTCGCGTCGCGTCGTTTTGACCTAGGCCAACCGCTATGTGTTTGAATGTGCGCGTGTGTGTGTGTATAATTTGTTGGATTTTTACCCTCTCTCCTCTTGCCTATGTCCGTCATTCGCTTACACAAAGGTATGTACGCACGCATACATGGGCAATAAATAGACATGCCTATGAATGTATCTGTGTCTGTGTGTGTGTGTATCTGCGTGCTTGTGTTGGTGTCCTTTGCTCTGACGTTTCTGTTTAATCTCATCGTCTAGACCTTCGCAATTTTTTTGTGTGTGGAAGGGCAAATCCTTCAGGTGAAAGGCTTGATTACATGTGTGCAAATACTCAATTATACCAGATTTAGCAAAAATTTAATTATTATAAATTATAAAGAGACTGGCAAAAGCACCGTTCCAATTGAAAACACCAATCCCAATAAGAAATCACAGCAGTTTTTAGTTTGAATTTGGCTCCTGATAAAACGGCATTTTATTTATATTTTCTTCCATGGAATAGAACCTATTTCTAACATTTCACTTTTTCTTTTGATTGCAAATGGACTTTTTTTACATTTTTCTTCTGAATTGTCGTATAATCAAAATATATATTGGCTTTTCTGGGAATTTCCATAAACATAAGCTAGGCCAAATTCCCAATCACGCGTTTCTTTCTTAAATAACATGTCGCACGCTTCTGTCTCTTATCAATATCTTATCGCTCGTTTAGTTTTTTATTTTACTTTTCAAAATTTCCGCAACAGAAATTTCATTTAGTATTAAACAATATTCGACCAGACTAAACAAATGGGCAATATATGAATGTCTTATCAGAGCAAGAACTGTTCTTATTTGTGATTTTTTGTAATGGATACGCCAGACAAATAACGTAAACAAATCACAGTGGGTGAGACAGATAGAGCGCAAGAAAGAGACAGCGAAATGGAGAGAAAAGCTTACAATTTGCGTCTATTTAAGTGTTCGTTGACCTGCCAAAAAAAAAAAAAAAAAAAAAAAAACAGAAATAAAAACCATGAATAACAACGAGTTGGGAGCTACAACTCATAGACTATAGTAGATATATAAAAATATATATATATAGGTATATGTATGTATGTATATGTATTTGTAAATTGTCTTTCTAGAGGTGTGTGCCTCGGTTTCTTGCTATTTGTTGAAGCACTTACTAATTGCTTGACTTGTTTCTGATTTATGCTTCAAAAGCGATTTTAGATTTTAAGTGGATTTTCTATGTGTTGTTAGATGTAGATGTAGATAAAAGTAAAAGAGTTTTTTGACAAGAGCTTTCGATAAGACCCAAATGGCTTGGCTTTTATATTATTAAATTTATATTTTTAAAAATAGTTTTATTTCTTAAATTATATATATATATATATTATATTTTTAACTGTTTCATTTTTTAAATAAATCTGGAATTAGTTAAATAAAACTTTTCTTAAAATGTTCAGCTTTTTTAGCTATACATTAGTTTTTATAAAGGTATTTAAGCTCTCATTCTCGAATGTTCTAAATGCAGCTTTTCTCAGCGCCAATCTCTCAACCTCACCCTGTTTTCTTTGCTCGCTGCTTCTCTTGCTTTTTACAACTGTTCTTCACTTTACTGATCTATCCAACAAACAAATCTCGCTCTCTCTCTCTCACTCTCTCTCTCTCTCTTTCACTCGCATGCGCTACGTTTGTGTTTTTTTCAAGACCAGTTTCAAAGCGTGCATTGCGTCGCGCTCCATTTCTGAGCTATCCCAACAAAATAACGGTAAACAGCCTGATTTCATATGAAACATGTGCATAAAGTATTTCCCAGAGACAGACAGAGAGAGAGAGAGGGAGAGAGAGCAGGAGGTGGAGGTATAGGGAGCGGTAGAGTGCGAGCTTGAAGAGGGGGAGGGCAAATAGATCTCTCAACGATCATTGACCGAGCTCTTAGTGTGCGCTCGTCGTGCTTTTAACCTCATAAATAGATAAAAGACAAAATGTTTGTTGTTTCTTTTGGACTTACCTTCAAAGAGGAAGAGCAGAAGAAAGAGAGAGCGAGACAGAGACAGTTACATACATATTTATATGTATTTAATTTTCGTTTCAACAGACACACGAAAATAGTTTTTGTGTCGAATGTTAATGAACTTTTGCGCCAGTTTAACGAATTGTGTGAGGCAGAGTCCAACAAACACAAACACAAACACACGCACACATACACACCTGGCTGTGTGTAAACAACCAAAAACTTGAAAAAGTTTTTTGAACTTACTAAAAAAAGAAGAAAAAATATTCTTAGTTTTTAACATTGGATTTTTCATGCTTTTTAGCGCTTTTCATATTTTCAGTTGTCGAAGGTGGAAATAATCATAAAAACGTTTTCTTTTTCCTTGGACTCAGATCTCTGAGAACTGAGTTAAGTTGATATTTAAGCAGAATTGCTATACATAGAATTTATTAAAGAAAGAAAGAGAATTAAAGAGAAAAGTAATTAAAAAATAATAAATATATATTTTATTATTAAATATATTTGATTTATTATATTTTCTTATATATTAGGTTTTTGTGCATACATCTTAAGAATATTGTTTAATTGTTTTATGCATGTTTACATCATTTTTTATTTATAAGATATTTTTCATTTATTTTAATTTATTTAGTATTATAAATTGTTTTCTACATCTAATTTCTATACACAATTTATTATATATTTATAATCTTAATTATATATATGTATATTAATAATCAGCATTTGCTATTTGTAGCTTATAATATTTTTGACACTACAATCTAGAAATGCACCTTCAATCCTCCTCTTTACTCTATCACTACTATTTCAAAGCTGTTGCGTTAGGCCTAGTTCCCAGTTTCAGTCTAGAAGCTAATCTAATCAAGGGATATTGCTCGCAATTAACATAATATTTTAGTTGCTTGAACTTTATGATTGTTATTAACTTTCAATATCATAAATGTGCATATATATAAAAATATATCTACTCTCTTTATATGGTAATACACCATGTATTAAGTTCAGCATGACTCAGTTGAAACGTTCTTTATCAGCATGATTAGATTTCGATGCCATGAGTCATATGTGATATATTATGCTTTGTATTCTAAATTAGAATGAACTCAAAAACTATTCTTAGTCCAATGAATCCAATTAGCAATGAAACCCATAAATTTCCCACTCAAGTTTTTACATTTAACTCATATAGAAATGTTAGATACAAAAATTTCCCACAACAGAGTGGCTCAAGTGGCAAATAGCTAAAATAATTACCCACTCAAAATATCCAATTAGGTATTTTTATGCGCCTAACTCAAGACTCAAGTAAGTGAATTTCACTCAAATTTCCCCCCTTCAAAAGTACCAACTTGAATTGCCCTTTCAAACAGAACTCAAATAAGAAACCACTCAAAAAACTCGCTTTTCCAATTGAATGCGCGTCGCGCACTTTTGGGAAATTTGTTCTTCATATCACAGATCAATGGGACGTTTGGCTCATGTTGTTGTTATTGTTGGTGGTGGTTGCTTTTCGGTCTGGAGTTTGGGTTCTCGACACACTTTTCGGGCAACTCACCCACCAGTCTCCGCTGCACCATCAAACGAACCACTTCGCGTGCGGCAATGTGAACTAACTGCGCACTCCAACTGCTCTAACTCTATCTCTGTGTGTGTGTGCGTGCGTGTGTGTGCTTGTCTTTTATGTGTGTGTGTGCGTGTGCGTGTGTACGAGTGGAGCTCGAAAATGACCGATTTCTCAATGAATGAAATCCTAAGATCATTTAGAAAAATGCGCATGCAAAGGTGTTCCGGTCAAGGCAGTCATTTGGTAACCCAACACAATCATCATCATCATCATCACCAGCAACATCATCACCAACAGCAGCAGCAGCAGCCCCAAAACTTTCAACCATCAACAGTGCAACAGTCCAAAGATCTGAAGAAAATTATTAAAATCTTAAAGAAAAATGTTATCAAGGCAAAAATTACGCGCAAAATGAAAATTGTTGTCTAAAGAAGATGAAGAATATGAAAATTCAATAAAAAAAATAAGTGAAAAAAATATAAAATAAATATATATAAATTAATAAATATAATAGAATAAAAAAAAATATTCAATAATAAAAATTAAGCTATAAAAAGTATTTAAAATAGAACTTAAGACTTATACAAAAACTCAGGACTGATTTACACAAAAAGCAAGCGGAGTCTGAACTGTCAACTAAACTACCTCAAAATAAAAAAACAACAACAAAAATCGATGAAAAAAAGAGTCTGACATAAGTTTTTACTAAATATTAAAGCATTATTAAGGAAAAGTTTATACAAAGCTACCTCAAAAAAAAAAACCTAAAAAACTAATTAATATTAATAACAAAAGATCTCTAAGTACAAAAAATATATATATATATATTAGAATTATGGACTGCTTGTAACAGAACTTTGGACTTTGGTAACATCAAGGCTGCAAGAATTTTATATTCAAAATCAAAAAGAACAAAACGCAAAATGACTGAACGAAGCAATGAGAAGAAGACTTGGTCAGCGAAGCCGAACTGGATCAAGGATGTGCTGAATAAGTCCGGCACGGATTTGGAAATAAGCAAAGCTAAGGGCAAAGCGACGCAGAAGAAAACACATGCAAAAGGTAAAAGGGCAAAGGAACGTTCAAGAAATATGCCGGAAAAACTATGAACGCCCCCAAACGCCTCCCAATCGTGCGTGCGCCATTTTGTTTTGGTATACGCAGTGGTGGAGCGTGCCGAGGGATGGGGAAGTTTTATCAAAATAACAAATCAAGAGAGCGCTACAAAAAGCCGGTTTACTGAGCTTTGCAAGATGCAAAAAAAAAACATTAAAAAATTTCCCCCAAAATTAGGGAAATTTTGTGAAACACCCTATTGCGTAGTTCTATCTACTCACTCTCTGCCTCTCCCTCTCTCTCACTCTGTCGTTAAATGTTTACCCCGCAAGCTTATGCGTTTTCCTTTTGTGAAAACTTGGGCCGGCAATAACAGAAAATTGCGTAGTTCGTAGTAGGGTGGATTTTCCCATGTCATTGCTGTCGCTGTATGCTAAGGGAGCTGCCCCCCCACACCCTTAAATGGGTTTTCCCAACCACCCAACTAACAAAAAAGCGTATGCACGGCTACCTTTTGGGCTTTTGCGTTGTTACTCATCATGGCATTGTTTCTTCCAAGGAAAATGCGTAATGCAGGTTGTCAAGACCCAAAGGAAATAATGAAAAAAAAATGGGGTGGTTCTCTTAAGTCCATCTGGATAGTGTGAAAACCCTTGTCATATGCCTTGCATTGACTATTCAAAGTTCAATGAACACGAAAGAAGTTACGATTTGCTCTTAAGACTCAAGAGGAAGAGATTTCCCAGATATTTTCATTTGCTATTTTATAATATAAATAATTGTAATATGTATTTTAAACAGCTTATATACCATATATATAAACTAGAATATTTTTATTATTTTTTTTCGAATGTTTTTATTTATAATTTATTTTTTAGAAATTTTATTTATTTATACTTAAAATTTTTCATTATTTATTTTAGATTTTTTTTATTTATTTTTTAGATTTATTTTAATAGTCCTATTTATATTTATAAGTTTTTATGTTTGTATAATTTTATTATATTTTTATTTATTTTATGTCTAATTTTTAAAGTTTTTGTATTTTTTTATTATAATTTTATATTTGAAGTATATTTGTAAATATGTTAATTATTTTTTTAAAAATTAAATAATTAAATGAATAATATTTTAACAAAATTTTATTTTTAATATTATGTATAAGTTTATTTTTAATATTATATTTTGAAACATTAAATATTTTTATTTAAATTTTTAATATTTTATATCTTAGTCAAATAGTCTTAAGACACATTACAAATATTAATTTTTGAATGCTCACTAACTTCTCGTCTCTCTCTCTTCTTCTTCTGCAGATTCATCCACAACCAACATGGTTTACTATCCCGCTAATCAGCTGCTCATAAAGACGGAGCAACCCGCCCAGACGCAATTCTGTCTGCAGACGCCACTCATTGCGACGGGCGGTGGCGGTATTAGTGTTGCGCCACCTGGCGGACAGCACGAACACTATGAGGTATTGCAGACGCCACAGCAGCGACAATTGCAGCAGCAGCAGCAACAGCAACAGCAGCAACAACTTGCCAACTATCAGTTGGTGCTGCAACAACAACAACAACAACATGAAAGTATTACAACAACTGCAGCTGCAGCAACAACAACAACACTGCAGCAGCAGCGCATCAAAACAGAATTGCCACCAGCCTATGGTGCAACAACAGCAGCTGCTGCAGCAACAGCAAAAGCAAAAATTGCCACGACCCGCAAACCGAACGTCAACAAGCCGCAATTCAAGTGCGAACAGTGTGGCATGACCTTTGGCAGCAAATCCGCCCACACGTCGCACACAAAGTCGCATGCAAAGAATGCAGATCTTGCCATGGGCCTCAAGTCGGGCCTGGCCAGCAGCAGTTCGAGTTCCAGCACCGGTTCCGGTTCCAGTTCCGCTGGCAACACGCCGCCCATCGAACTCAACGAGGCGGGCCTGCCACTGGGCATACCAAAGAGTCCCACCATCAAGCCGCTGGCCAATGTCGCCGCCGGCGCCGATCCCTATCAGTGCAATGTGTGCCAGAAGACGTTTGCGGTGCCAGCACGATTGGTAAGTGAGCGAGAGAGGGAGAGGGAGAGGGAGAGGGAGAGCAAGATCTATAACTAGTTCGTAACACTTCATTAAAATATAATTATTATATGTGGGAGTTGGCTGATAGCATTTGTGGAAGTGGCTTATAACTAATTAGTGCTACCTGAGCAAAAAGGTGCAAATAGCGCTAATATATAACTAATTAGTCTTACCTAGCGAAGTAGTGGCTACAGGCACTGATAACACTAATTGTAGAGCTTAAGCAGCTACAGTTTTTATGTTAACTTAACTTAACTCTGCCTTAAAGTGGATTTGCCCAAGGGAAATGCATCAAAGTTTCCACTAGCAAAGGTGGATTTGTCGACTTACAGTGGAGCAGCTTAGCAATCAATGTTGGGTATTAAGTCTACTCTTTTTCCACAATTCATGCATTTTTCACAAGTTTTGGTGAATTTGCTAGAATCGAACTTTCCGAATGATACGAATATATTAGAGTAATTCACTAAAACTTGCGGAAAATGCATGAAATATAGTCGCTTGGTTAACTGTGAATATTGAGCGTGGCATAACGTGAGCAATAGAAGTGTCTATATAGGAGCTCTGATATGGAACGCTTACTAGAAGTAGGCCTTAGTCCTTTCACGCACTTTCCACTTGTGAAGTTGAAATTGGCCTTAATCAAGTCTCGCTCTGAGGCATAGATAAGCCAACAGATAGAATTGCTTCACAGTTTTTCACTCTTTGATTCACCCATTTTCCACTTGTATATGCGGAATTATAATATTTAAAAACCGAGCAAATCTAAGAATGATTTTGTTTCTTCTTACAGATTCGCCACTATAGAACGCACACGGGCGAGCGTCCGTTTGAGTGCGAGTTCTGCCACAAGCTGTTCAGTGTGAAGGAGAATCTGCAGGTGCATCGGCGCATCCACACCAAGGAGCGGCCGTACAAGTGCGAAGTGTGCGAAAGGGCGTTCGAGCACTCCGGCAAGCTGCATCGGCACATGCGCATCCATACGGGCGAAAGGCCGCACAAGTGTTCCGTCTGCGAGAAGACGTTCATTCAGTCCGGCCAGCTGGTCATCCATATGCGCACGCACACGGGCGAGAAGCCGTACAAGTGCCCGGAGCCGGACTGCGGCAAGGGCTTCACCTGCTCCAAGCAGCTGAAGGTGCACTCGCGCACCCACACGGGCGAGAAGCCCTATCATTGTGACATTTGCTTCCGTGACTTCGGCTACAATCATGTGCTCAAGCTGCATCGCGTCCAGCACTATGGCGCCAAGTGCTACAAGTGCACCATTTGCGACGAGACCTTCAAGAACAAGAAGGAGATGGAGGCGCACATCAAGGGCCACGCCAACGAGCTGCCCGAGGATGAGGTGGAGGCCGCGGCAGCGGCAGCTGCTGCAGCAGCCTCGGCAACAGGCGCTGCCAACGGCTCGTCCTCGTCCATAGCCAGCAACTCCGAGAGCAGCAACAATTCACCGCCCAGCTCGCCACCGGCTGTTAAGAAGCCACGTCAGCCACGTGGCGCCAAAGCCGTTGCAGTTGCAGTGGCTGCTGCGGCAGCGCCTCTCTCACCTAGCTCCGTCTCATCCACGTACTCGCCGGCTAGCAGTCAGGCCTCCACACCGCCGCAATATCTGGCCACAACGGATGCATTGAGTCGCGACAGCGGCGTGTCCAGCGCCCAGCTGTTGCCCAGCTATGCGGAGGAGGATTTGCCCACGGACCTGAGCATGCAACAGCCGGCGGCAGCCACCGCTCAGCAGCAGCCACAATTTATTTACTATCAGCCACAACCGGCGTCCAGTTTAGTCGAGCTGCAGCCAACAGCAGCAGCAGCAGCAGCAGCAGCTTCTTCCCCCATAGCCGGCTTATCCATCAATCCAGCGCTGCTCGAAGCGGCAAGCATAGCGAGACGCGATCACGACGAGGTCAGTGACAACGATGAGGATGTGCAACAGGCGGCTTGGCAAATGATGCAGCTGCGACGCGGTCATGCGGCTGCATCGCAGCCACAGGCACAGTCCCAGCCCCAGCCACAGCCTCAGCCACAGCCACAGCTACACGTTGCAACCCAACCCACTTTACTAGTCAGCGATCTGGCAGCTAACTATGATGACACCCACGAGGCGAACGTGCTGATCGAGCACTTCAAACGCGGCGATTTGGTGCATCATGGACTGCACAAGGCCTATGCCCGGCCGGTGCCAATCTATGAGTAAGTAAACCATGGTCGCAGCCTCAACGATAGTTGCTAACCATCAATCCTGTCCACTTGCAGATCCTCCCTGAAGAATCCGGATATAGTGCGTCGCGTGGAGGCGGCCATTGGACTGCGCTCCAGCACCGAGTCGCCAGAGCGCAGTTCCTCGCCCGAAAGCGATTCCCTAATGATGGCCGATCGCAACGTGATGACGCTGCCACTGCGCAAGCGCAAGCATTATATGAATGAGGGTGAGGTCAACAATGGCGGCGGCAGCTGCTCCAACAGTGCAGCGGCAGCGGCGGCGGCGGCGGCGAGTGGAGTGGGCGGAGGAGCTGTTAATGAGTCAGCCGGAACAGCAGCGAGTGCTGCCGATGGCGCCACAAGCAGCACGGCCGGCTCCAAGGTGATGCGCATGAGCTCTGTCATCCAGTTTGCCAAGGCTTCGTAGTGGGCGTGGCAGCGGCAATCAGCATAAAGACTGTTCAACAAATTCTAACTGAAATTAGTTTTACTTTAAAATAATGCATGCATTGCATAATTTACGTTTTTATTTAGCAGCGAGAAATGCCAAAAGTATTATACAAAAGAGGAAGAGCAAGAAATATGTTTTTAAACAAAAAAAAAAAAAGAAAGAAAAGATAAGAAAATTAATATCCTATTACGTTTACATTGTATACTTTTTGACTACGTGGATTTTGTTAAATATTTGTTTTTTCTTCTCTTAAATTTATGTTTCCGATTAAGTTAACAATTGCAGCGATTGGCGTGGCAATTCCTTTTCTTTAAATAAGTTGAAAAATGAATTGAGAAACAATGAAATCCAACCGGAGAAGAGAGAAAAGAAAAACAATAATAAGTTACGTACATAATTGAATACAATTAATTATTTATGCTAATTAAGGCCATATTGGCAGCAGCAGCAAAAGCAACTAAATACAATTAATTTACATACATACAATACATATAAATAATTCTAAACATACATATTTATAAATGCAATTAAATAATTATGTAACTAATGCGCGCCCATCAAAATCACTTTATATATGATTAAGTAAATCATCCAAACAAACAAACAAAATCTTAAATCAATTTGATATGCATTTTATATTTTATATACAAGCAAAACAAAAAAATTAAAAAAAAACAAACACAAAATTTGAAACATCAAAAGTCACTTAAAATGTAAATCACAACAATTCAATACACTATTTTACTATACGGAGAATAATGAACTGATAAGCAAAGAGCAAGCAAGCATAATTAAGTTAAAAATTAACACACAACAAAAAATAAAATTAAAAAAATAACAAAAAAAAAAAAACAAGAAAAGTCGATGTAAACCGCATATTTAGTGTGCGCCATAAATAATTTTTTGTAAACGCTAAGTAATATACATATAGTTATAAATTGTAGCATGAAATATTACAAGCAAAAAAAAATAAATTGCCTAAAAATTAAACATGGAGAATTTAAGTCTATTTGAAAGTGGCGGCAAACACAACGGCGAATTTAAGCTTTGCAATTCGAGTAAACGTGTCAACGAATTGGCTGAATGGCAGTTTCAGATTACAGCACTTTTAGTCAAATTGGGTATTATAACGTGCGCGCGCGGAAGATAAAAAAATGAATTAACCATGTAGAATGATTGTGAAAATACAGTGCCTAACATATATATATGAAGGTATTAGGCAACCAATGTTCAATGTAATTTTGCAAACGTGTAGGTTGCATGCTTTAGTCATAGGAAATGTAATCTTAGCGCGGACAGACAATGTGAAATGCTAACCAAAAAGCGCGCCGCCAAACGTGCTGTTGAATGTCAGTGATACGTTTTGTTATGGAACTGTTAATTAACAGGCGCTTAGTAAATATTGAAATTAAAATCTATTTGCTAGATGCGGCAAACTAGGAAGGTAAATTTAAAATTATTGAGAACACTAAAATTACTAATCAATGTATGTCGTAAGTTTCAATTTTAAGAGCATGTTTCAAAAATTTCAAAATTGTAACCTAAGCGCGTTCAGGATTGTGAAATGTAAGCAATATATTTTACAGTGAGGTGTATGTTAAATAAAAAGCGATTGGCGAGAGCGCGCACATGTTAAAATATGAACAGTTGAGTAAAATGTGCCCTGCCAATTAGAACAGAGCAATAAGTTTAACAGTGGTGTGAAGTGTTAAGTGGCCCATTGTAAAGTGCGCGCGCCATGTTAAAAATATAAATAATTTTAAAATATTCAACATGATTTACAAAGCAAACAATTTAATTTATTTATAAGTAAATGTACAAACTATTTCGTTATGAATATTCCATTTATTGCTATATAACTGCATTCACCTGTTTTATTATTATTTTTTTTATTATATAATTAATTATCAATTCGTTTGTAAACACGTTACTGCCATATACATATATATGTATATACATATTAACTACAACGGCAAATTTGAGATAGTTGAAGCAAAATTATGATACAATAACGAAAATTACTTTGAGAGGAGTGTACAAGAGATAAGGCAGCCGGCACAAAAAACAACTATACACTTAAAATAATATTCAGTGAGGTGTTGAGGGGGAGGAGATGGGGATGGGAATGGGGGCATGGGGTCTATTACAAAACTAAACATTGTTTATGAACTAATAATGCAAATTGATTTAACTGGTCGACCACCAGTCAGGCAGGCAGTCAGACAGTCTTCAAATGCCAATGTACGAGCAGAACACAAACACCGCAAATATCATCACAATCATAAAGACAATGGCAAGCCAGGCGGGAATCGTGCCTGCAAATGAAAGATTAATGAGTATATTGGGTACATCGTTTATGTGTGGGTAACTTACGCCGCTGCGGCAGACTGTGTATGCACACTTTATTGTCGACGGATATGGATAGCACTGCTGCTTCCGTATCGCTCGATATGGGCGGACCCTCCTCGTTGGTAATGGGTAGAAATTGCAGTCCGGTCACAAACATCGAGTGAGCATGAGGAATGTGCAGCACGCGCTGTAACCGTTATAAGAAAACAATCAATTGCTGCAACTACAAGCAATGGCCATGCCGCACTCACCTGCAGACTAAAGGCTATGTACATGGATACGCTGCCAGAGAACATGGTGCCAACGGCCACGAATCGTCCATCGTCTCGTACAGCGAGCGAGGACAAACTCTCATCGATGGGCACTGCTGCACGCAATTGCCCACTCGTGCAATCCCATTGCTGTAGATAGCCGCGCTGTTTACCCACCTTGCCCAGCGGATTGGCTATGGTGTAGAGCCTGTAGTTATCCTTGTGTGCCTCTACAGTGCCATAGCGACAGCGCTTGAATAAGTATTTGGCACCTTCTGGTGTTTGCCATTGCAGCTTATACTGTTGCTTGCCTGTGCTCAGATCCCACACAATACCCTGGGCATCCTTTGAAATGCTCACAATGTATTTGGAATCGGGGCTGAAGTCTAAATCGTCGATTTCCTTGGTATGAGCCGCCAGTTCCGTGATTAGCTGTATCTGTGGAAAGGTCCAGATCCGCAGTTGGCCATCGGTGCCACCGGTTGCCATCAGCTGCCCATTGCCACTGATGCGCACAACGCGCTGCAATGGCTCGGCGCTTCTGAGGAAATCCGTTTGCACCACGTCAGCTGCCTGAATATCGAAACGCAGACGGTGGAGCTTGCTAAGTATATCCTGATTGCTATTGTTGCTTGGTGGTTGTCTGTTATTATGGCCATTGGGCAGCGCCTCGACGCCAGAATGTGCAGCGCCACGCTGACGTACACCATTCTCGTGCGGACGTTCCACCGGCGCTGGCTTCCTATCCCGGTCCGCATCATCCTCTGATTCAATGCGCGGCTGCACATAATACATTTGACAATGCGCTTCCTGGCCGGCACAGAGATAAGCACGTCGTCCGCTATTGCGTACAGCAAAATTCATTACCACATTGGCGCCCGTCTCATGGCGGAGCACTTCCTCCGCACAAAAATGGCTGCCATTGTGATACAGCTCATAGATTTCCTAAAACGAAAACAAAACATTTCAAATATTAGCTTACATTACCAAGTATAGAGAGTGTTGCCAACACATCGTACTATAATTATGAACTGCATTGTACGTTACTGTTGACCTATTTCAAGTAAATTTGACACACTTACAAAGCCATTCGCGACGCCTGTTTTACTTGAGCCGCCTCCACCGGCAACCAGAATGTGACGGCTGGTCAGCATATCGACAGCGTAGAGTGGAAAATTGACTCGCGCCAATAACCCATCGCTGGGCCTGCGTGTTGGTGCCATTATCAATAATTAATAATTAATTATGCTTGCTTTTTCTTTTGCCTTTGCCTTTGCTTTTTCGTTTTTTTTTATCAGTAGCTCTGAGTCAGGCGCATTTATTGTATTGTAGAGTATATGTATTTGTATATGTTTATTTTAATTTTGTTGGTTTCAAACGTTTGCTTTCATATCCTAAATTGCTATGGTATATTGTTTACTATTTACACTATTTATATTGGTTATTTTGTAATTTGTTTGTCGTGTCGCTGTGCCGTGAAAGTCTGTCTAAAATCCACGTACACTTGACCCGATTCCGACATTCACTGAGCAGCGCAGCTGTTTGACACTCACAACGATAAGTCGTAACAGACAGATAGTAGAATTGAGCAATACTGAGTCTTTTAACAGTGGCGCAAGCAACTGAATCGTTTAACAGCTCTACACACCTGTCATTGCATAGCATTGCTTACAACAGCAAACAGCTGTTTTTGCGTTCACACAGAGAAATAGTAATTTGAGCATTGCATTAATATTTTATTAATTTAAAAGGAAAAGTAATACTGAGCAATTTAAGATAAAACTAACTCATTGGAAATATTAATTTTTAAAATATATAATATATTTATAATTTGTATAAGTGATAGCACTTCTGTTATTTAAACAGAAACAGCTGTTTTTTTATCGGAAGCCTATCGAATTCTCACAGCCAAAGAGAAATTGCAGTATTGCAGTTTAGATTTGCCTGTTTCGTGCTCGCAAGCAAAAATATATATGTATAATTAAAGCAATGACTAGCATAACAAAAGTTCGTCAAAAGTTGGCGAAAACAAATGATCCCCTGATAGCAACTGATATGGAAATCGGTCCCATAAAAATTGAGCAGGACTCCAGTTCAGATGATGAGAGCAACGAGGAGCCAGAGACGCCGGCGAAGAAAAGTCGAATATCCGAACAGCTAGAGCCAAAGACGTAAGTTAAATTAAACAAATGAAAGTCAAGTTACGAGGATATGCAGTGCCAAACATAGCAGTCGATCGACAGCTGTTTTAAAGAGCGGGAATCTTTTCCCGTTCAAACACTATAGTAAAAAGAAGAAAGTTTCATTTAGGCGCGTTCTTTAAATTCTTTTTTATCAAAAATAGTTGTGATCTAAAATTAAATAAATAAATTCAAAAATTCAGTGAAAAAATAAAAAAACGTGGTAAAAACTTCTCGCCGGAGGAGGAGCTAACCCTGGTGGAGCTTGTCGAGGAGCGAAACGATGTGTTGAACAACAAGAAATCGGATGCATTTACGTGGAAGCACAAGGAAGAAGTCTGGGCAGAGCTAACAAATAATTTTGTGGCGAAGACCGGAGTCTTACGGGAATGGCGACAACTGAGAGACAAATATCTGCATATGAAACGCAGAGCGAAAGTGGAGCTGGCCAAGGAGCGAGCGCACAGTCAGCGCGTGGGAGGGGAGCCCATTACGCCCATAGTTTCAACTGTTTCAGAAAAAATTGTAGCCATGATCGGGGATGCGGCACTGTGCTTGAAAAAAGCCATGGAGACTGATGGCTGTAAGTAGTAAATCTTCATTATTTATAAAGGAATTTGAAAAGGAAATGCGTTCCACAGGTCAGCTGGAAAATGAGCAGAGCTTTGAGGGCGATGAGGATATGATATATAATTTCGTAGCAGGAGATCAGGATGTAAGCTCATTCAATTTGAATGCAGTATAGTCTATGTGGATATACTCAAAACTTAATGCCTGTTCATCTTCTAGACTAATGATATAACCGTATCGGAGGATGATCTGACGAGCACGAGTTCGAAGTGGGCAACGAGTAATACGGCTAATACAACCGTACGGCTTCCAGTTCTCAAAAATAAACTGCCCGATAAAATTCCTAGTCACAAATCAAGTTTGGATGAGGAGAAATTAAAGCTGCTGCAGCTACAGCAAGATTTCTGTAGATGTGAGAATGAACGCGCGCAGGAAAAACACGATATGGAAATGCGTGAGAGGCGCAGCAAACTGGAGGACGAGGCTAGAGAACGTAAGCTGCGTATTGAACTCTTGGAACTCGAAATAAAACAGAAAAAAGCCAAACAAGAGCAAAACAGACATATATTTAACTAGTTATATATGAAACAAACAAGAAGACTTTATATGTGGCTGCACGAAACTGAAATGTACATTTAAATATAAGGCAAATAAACTGTACTGTGTAGTTTAGATTAAGTTTTAAAAACATTGCTTTTATTATTTTTATCCAAAGTGCTGTTTATTATATCATGTTGTATATTAGCTATGCGACAGCTTGCTGCTTTAATTGAGGCTTATATTGATTCTCATCTGAATACAATGGCTTGCAAATTTGCCAGGCAGACGTTTTTTATAATACTTAAAGTGCTTATATATTTTTCAATAATCATTTCATTTCTAATTATGCAGATATAAAATTTTATACCAGATTGAATCAATCTAAATATAGTATAATATATCGACTTTTAAAAACATAAATAAGAAACGGGAAAAATTTGAATTACATGTTTAAAGATTTTGTTTACTCTGCCTCTGTTACAGCCACAGCTGATTATGTTATCGATAATGGAAACAGGTTATCGGAGCTGCACACAGGCTGAAATTGCAGTATTGCATTTCTGAGTTAGCTGACAAAAACAAGGCGACCACAAAGCATAATTTTAGTCAGTTAGTAAAAAAGTTCAGCTGTTAAAAACATAGAATGACAAGCGTTGCAGAAGCCCGAAAGATAATGTCGCATGTGGATTGCGAGCAAAATGAAGATGATCCACTGGCAGCAGCGCCGCATCTTGATATTGGACCCATCAAAATTGAACAGGAAATGAGCACAGATTATGAGAGCAATGAGGAAATGGAGACACCGTCCAAGAAGACACGCATTGAACAGGATTTTCCAAAAAAGTGAGTGAACTTGAATCAATTACATATCTATAAGCATATTTGATCTGTTTATCCATTATAGTTTATCTCATAATGCCTTTATATTTAGCTTCAATTAGCCATTCTCACAATTTTGCACTACATAAATTGTTGCCAATTTTTGTGAATTTGAAATTTCCCAAGAATTAGTCAAAGAGCGCCAGAGATAAAGCCAATTTGTTAGTTTAAATTGTGTATTTTCTATCAAATTATTTTCTATTTACATTTGACGTACCGGTGAACGTCAATTTGATGCCGCCTTTAAAATTGTTTAAGGGTGGCAACCGGCAAAAAAAATTGTTGCATAAACAGTGTTGCAAAACGCACTGAAAATTTTAATAAACAATCAATTTTCTATAAAAATATAATAATAACAACTACTAATGAACTGCTGTAAGTAAAAAATAAAGTTGTAAAGAAATTGTGATTTGTTAAAAGAAATAAAATATTTAATATAAAAAAATATTTTTTTTACCATGTGCAACACTGAAAACAAAAATAAAATTGTTATAAACACAAAAAATAACTATCAAAATGTAAGTTAACGTTTCGAATTTACGATCTTATTTAATTAACTCCTTCGCATTTCAGGCGCACGCACAAAAATCGAGAACAGGGCAATATATTAATAGCCTTTATGACTAAACATCAGGATATTGCCAAAGGACTCTTTAAAGGCGAACGCTTTGTTGTGGATGCCAAATGGTGTAGCTTGGCAGTCGATCTGAACGCCGAAGGACCTCCCTTCAAGAATGTTTCCTCATGGAAAAAGGTCTTTGATACATCATATTAGAAATAAATGCATTCATAAATAAAAATTTATTTTACAGGTCTGGTCGGATTGGAAGATATCCATTAAGAAGAAACTGTTGCAAATTAAGAAGGATCAGCATGTTGTCTTAACACCTGCAGAGGAAACAATTGCTCAGCTGTGTGGATTCTATGATAAGGTGGAGGTTGTTCGCTGCGGCAAGTCCTTTGGTTGTCCCAGCGAACAGGAAGATAAATCAAATGTCAAACCAGAACGTCGTAATTCATTTAGCGACGCAACCAGCTTCCAATCCAGGACTGAAGACGAAAGTCTGGCACAATTGTGCGGATCGTATGAAATTGTAGATGTAGGTGAGCAACAAAGCACAACAGGCCATGACCAGTCCAAGAAAGCAAGTAAAGATAGTCCGAACAAAGCCAAACGTGAACAGTCTACCGATTTAGATGAAGATCTCGCGGTCAGAAGTCGAAAACGCAGTCGATACACTGATAGTCTAGAGGAGCTGTGTGGAGCTCAGAATGCGTTAATGACACGCGTTGCGGATAGCCTCGATGCCATACGCTCCACAATGGCAGAGCAGACAAATGTTATGCTGCAACATTTCAAAAGGATGGAGGAGATTGAATTGAAAAAACTCGAGGCTTTAAAATGTTTTAAGAAATAGTATAAGTATTATGCAATAATATTATTAAGTTAGTGTTTATTGAATTATACTATTAATAAATTTGTGTACATATTCGTAAATGTATTGTGAAAGCGTATAGCTAGTCGATTGGATGTTGTATGGTTTCTCAATATGAGATATCAAGATGAGAGTTTACAACTAAAACGTTCACCTAAAGCAGCTAAAATATAAATAATTAATATTTTGTTTATTTTTTTTCGCAGGATGGTAAATGGAATAGCTGGAAACTCTGCGGATATTCAAGTAAAGCAGCTCAAGTGTATTTCAAACCAAAATCAATTGATATGTTTCGACGCCTACAGAGAACTCTAAGCCTATTGCAATGCCATTTCTCTTAAATACCGTGGTAAGTTGACAAAATATCTATACATATCAAATACAAATATGTAATTGTAACTGTACTTATAAAATTTCACATTAATAATTCATAAAATATGTGATCAACTTTTGTACAACTGCTTTATCAAAATTTGCGCGCTCTACAATTTATCAAATTTAAATTCTAACATTGGCGCCCACCAAACCACTTCTTCCTCTTACAATCATTGCCATTCACAGCACCCAACACAAATTATTCAGTTCTTAGCAAGTTGGCATGCCCACGTCAGCAATAGTTAATTACTATTTGCTGAGGACTTGTTTATATATTTAAAACTAACTACAAATGCTAGGCTTAGAAATATATATTTGTAAACAATTTTAAAGTCGAACAACAATGTTTAACATTAGTCAAGTGATAGATGCGAACAGCATCAAGCTCGAAACGGTGGACCTGCAGTTCGCAACGGAGCAATTGAATTGGCCGCAGACAAGAAACAGAACAGAGCAACAGCAGGACAGGATTTGCAACTGGCAAATATCAAAGGAGCAGCTTGACACGAGCTCCGAAGGAACAGAGGTAAGTCATTGATCATAGTTTTAACCATTCCAAAAAGTAGGTCTAAGCAAGCGCTGCCAGTGGAAAAAAATACATATAGAAAAAATTTAATTACTTTTCAAGTAATTACCTAAGTAGTTACGAGGGTGGTCAGAAAAGTTTTCAAGCTTATGAAAATGAACTGCTTACAAAAAAAATATATGTAATAGATATTTTTATATATATTAATGTAAATAAAAAAAATATATATATTAATATAAATAAAAAGAAATCTTTTTTTCCATTTAAAATTATAAAATTTGTACATATTAATTTTAAAAATTATTATTGTAATGCAAAAAAAAAGTATTGTGTTTTGCTTACTTAAAATCATTTATATACATATATTTTCGTAATAAATTTAAAAGATTAAATTATTTTTATTTTGTTTTAAAAATTTTAATTTATTAATTAAAGATTTTTTTTGCTTAGTTGAAATTGTATATTTTACTGTTTTATTTTTTTTGTTATATATGCTCGTAAAATTATTATTTTTACTTTTTCTATTCTCTCTTCATTTAACTTGATGTTGACGTTTCGAATGCTTTAGGTGACCCTCACTTATATTATATACTAACACTAATTACTAACTGAATTTTAAATTAAGTTAATTCGCTTAATTGCTTAATTACTTTTAATTATTAATGCCGCAAAGCTTTTAGGATTCTCTTCAATTCTATTTAAATTTTAACCTTATTCAATTTTCAGCTTATGTCCGAATTCGATATGGAACTGGATAGGCGAAAAGCCCCATCATTGCAGCGACTGGGCAAAAGAAATACACAAAATACGTTGGAAAGGGATACGAAGTTGCCAGATGTCTTTCGATATTTTGGCAATATTGAAAGAGTAAGTAGGAGTATAAATAGACAAAATATTTATTCCTGTTAAAATCTCTGTGTGTTGTAGATAAAGGAACCTAGTGCCAAGCCGGGTGCAATAAGTGCCACCTGCAATGCCTGTCAAACCCGCATCAAAGGCTTTCTCACGGTCACCTCGAATTTCATCAAACATTTGCGCGTGAGGCATTCGAAAATTCATGCTGCCTTCGTTGGATCCAAATACGGTCCAGAGACACCGGAAGAGCAGCAGAATGACTCATTCGAGCAGCGCGTAATGTGCTATATAATAGATAATGCATTGCCCTTAACGACAGTTGAGACACTCAGCTTTCGCAATCTGTTCAAGAATACCAATTTGCGTGTGATGAGCCATGCGAAATTGAAAAGTCGCTTGGATGAGCGCTTTGAGCAAATGCTTGGCAATATTAAGAAGCTGCTTGCCAGCCAGAAATATGTTTGCATCACCACAGATATTTGCTCAAATAGCAGCGAGTGCAAGTATTTTGGATACAGTTGTCATTGGCTGGATAAAAAGTATCAAAGGCACTCAGTTGCCCTGGCCTGCAGGAGATTTTCTGGTGATCATGCTCAAATATTGGAGATGATTAGTAAAATTAACGATGACTACGAATTTAATAATTTAAAAATTGTGGGAGCAATTACAAACAATGATACAAATTGCACAATAGCCTTTCAAGAATTTGGCATAGATTTAAGAAGAGATACAATCGTTGAAGATGAAAGCAGCTACGAGGCTCATAAGGAGTTAAGGGAACTCATCTGCGATGCCTTACCAAATCGAATACAGTGTACGGGCGAAATACTAAATCTTTTAGCCTCTACAGATTTTTTGGAATTGCTCTCTAAGGATAAGAACTTAAAGGAGCGTCACTTGAAGGTATGTAAGGCAAAAATCGAAGTATAAATTGTTTAAATTCTCTTTTATTTATTTAGATTATGGCCAAATGTAGTGCATTGTGGCGTAAATGTTTTTGTACTCAATCGGCTCAGATCGTTGCCACAGTCTTGGACGATGCTTTGGTATGTCCCTCGAGAAATCGTTGGTTCTCCATATACGATAGCATTTGCTGTCTATTGCTGCATAAGGACAGACTAGCTGAGCTCTGCAGTCGTTTGGCTTTGCATAACTCCTGCTTCTCAGTGAGTGATTTGCAATATCTGGACGAATATCGTATTCTAATGTCGCCCATAGCAACGACCATTGAGTTTCTGCGCATGGAAAGCAATTTATATTATGGCTGTCTAATACCCGCCTTGACATCGCTTTGCGTTAAGCTGAAAAGAGTCTCGGATGCCTTAGAACTCAGCGACTTGAAAACTTTGGCATTTGAGCTACAGTTAAAACTGAAGCAACGATTCTCTGACTATATTCTACTGGCTGAAGATGCAAACAGTGCAATTATTGCATCTGTTCTGTGTCCTGGTATAAAAATGCGTTGGTTTAATGTCTTGGCCAAGGTTTCGGCACTCGAACAGCGCAGCGCGAAGGAAATACATCAAATAGTTATTGCTGAGGCTGTGCGGCATGCGAAGGCCACCGAGAATGTCTGTCAAAGTGCTATGGAAGCGGCTTATATAACGCGCAAGGACGATTTCTATGAATTCGATGAAATGGGTAAATATGAATTATATATACTCTTTATTATGTATATATATATTAATTAAGATATTCTATTAAGCAGATGATGTTTGTGAGACAAGCGATTTGGATATGTCGCAACCTTCGCCTCTGCCAGCTGCTACGAAGTTATTGGAGGATGCTGAAGCACAGCTTCTGAGTTATCTTAAAGATCCAGGAACCACATTTGAGGCGCTCGAAAAGTATCCTCTATTGCAAGACTTAGCACGCAAATACAATACGCCTTTAACTTCGACTCTTGAAGGAGGCTTGTCAGACCTGTATACTAACAGATATAATCCAATAACCGATCTAGCTGACTACTCAGTAGAAAAACTAATCCTACTAAAGGCTAACTATAATTTTTGAGCAATGCAAGTTAATAATTGGTTAACAAAATATAAGATGAGCGATTTTTTCTAATGCTCTTTATTTGATTTTATGCAAACTGGAAATCAATTTTATGCAAAGGAGTCAAATTGCACGTAATATTATTGGAAGGCGGTTTCTGAATAGTGCAAAGCTGCCGGGTGATAACGTTTTGGCATTAATTAATGCACAAAATCCCATTCAAACACAACTGTGGATGATATTGCGCAGATCTGTGAATGGCAATACGCTGCACTTATCGGTGGCTATCGATGACAACTGAATGCAAGCGTTCGCTGCCAGTGACGGAAATTTTTGCAATTGCCTTGACCGAATCTGCTTTAATCTTAATAATTGTACAGATGATATCAGTTGCAACAGGCAGCAGTCGATCCAGCTTTATAAATAACTGAAATGAAAGTAAAGTTAGTTCACGTAACAATATGTTTGACAGTGTCTAAATTATTTGTGTACTCCCTTCACTAGCACTTCTGATTGGAATCAGCTATGTCCAACTGGGAATGCAATGGGCAACTGTAAGAGACTTAAGTCAAGTTAGCTTAAATTTTGTTACTAAAATCTTTTAATGAATGCAGCTTAAAATTAGGAACTTATATTATCAACGACTATTTATTGCAGTATTCACAAGGATTATTAAATTTTGACGTTTTCTAAATATTTTACTTATCAAATAAATTATATTATTTATTGAATATAAAATTTCTAATAATTTCTTATTAAAATATGTTTACAAACAATTGTATAAGTAAGCGTAAATTCTAGATAGAATACAAATTTGATTTAAGTTAGTATAGTAAATAAAATTAATATTTTTTCGTATTTAAAAAACCGTTTAAAACATATTCTAAATATACTTCTATTTCATAGAGACTTCTCCTAAGTTCTTATCTGAATTGGAGGTGCGTATATTACAAATGCATTTAACTTATCTTTATATGAAGCAACTTCCACTCTCCATTAGGTACTTGCACAGTTTAAAAGGCAAAAGGTCTCCGAAGTTATACCTACTGCAGAGTAGCTAAAAATATTGAATGTTATTTAATAATAATATTGCACAAAAGAAAAGTCGAAATATCTGGAAAATGTTTAGTTGTCGTGTGATCCCTATCGACTTTGAATGCGAATCGGACGATTGGTCAAATGTTGAGCCAAAAATTGTAAAATTTAACCATACCTGGACCATTGAAAGCTTCGGAGAGGCATGGCAACTCCAAGATAACTGGGAATCCATGCAATTCCCCACGGAGAAAAGTAATAAATTGAAATGGCGATTGAAGCTGGAACTCATCAGGAAGGAGGATAATGCACCCGATTATTTTAAGCTGACCTTAGACAGGAATGAGTACTTTTTTGAGCAGGCAAAGATCATCTGCTCAATAATGAATCACGAGGAAACGGAACAAAGAAAATTGTGTAAAGTGATCAGTAATAAACCGATTTGCTTTGAGCCCTTCATATATTGCAGCAAACTCTTCGACGCGGAGAAAGATTATTTACCCAACGATCAGTTGACAATTTGTTGTCAAATTCGATTGCTCACAGATACCGTTTGCACCTGTGGCACAGCGAATCCCATCAAAGTGCCCGAAAACAAAGTAGCTGAAGACTTTGGTAAGCTTTTCAACAATGAACAGTTCAGTGACGTTAAGCTAATGTCGAATGGGCATAAGATATATGCACATAAGAATATTTTATCAGGTGAGCTGATCTTACGATCGAAAAACTCAGACATAAATGTAATTCTTCGTTTAGCTCGCAGCCAGTTCTTTGAGGCGATGTTTCAAAAGGAACCACAGGATTGTGTGATCCTTAACGATATGGATGCAAAGATCATGATGGCATTAGTTCGTTTCATCTACACCGACGAAGTGACCAATCTGGACAAGCACGACAAGCAACTGTTGGAGGCGGCTCATAAGTTCAAACTGGCCAAACTGAAAGCTTTGTGTGAGAAATCTCTGTTTACGAAACTTTGCACAGACAATGCAGCTGCAACATTTGTCTTAGCCGATAAGTACGATGCACTTCAACTGAAAGGCCGTACCATTGATTTTATAAACAAGTATATGGATGCAGTGAAAAAAACTGGTGGCTGGCGTGAATTGTCCCGGCATAATTCTCGCTTGGTAAGCGATAATTTTGTACTCGTTGGTGGCCATCGGTTCTTAGTGAATCCAGATAAAGCAAATTACAGTAAATATTCTTGCGAGAAATGTGGATGAGAAATTAATATGAAATCATTATATATATTGTATTATATTATTTGATTGTATAATATTCATTATTCTTAAAATTAAAAATGTGACATTTCTTTCAATTATATTCAATTATAAATATAAATAAATTTTTTTTATAATTATTAATTATATATTTTTATATTTTATTATAATTATTATTTATATTATTCGCATTTCTTGCTTTCGAATTTTAAATCTTTATTTTCAAACACAAATAGTTCTGTCCCTTTCTAACTGAACTTTTTGTCCTTCTCTCTCCCGCTCTGTTGATATGGCACGCGCAAACTAATGCACTCATTCACATCTTTATTAAGGGTTTACACACACATTCATGCGTGCTTGATTGTGTGTGAGTGCAAAATGTACTCTCTTGAGAGAGTATAGAGTGCTTATATTCTGCTTGCTCAGCTACCTACACAAGCTCCAATCAGAACTTCTCAAAACCCGGATGGAACACGCTGCAACAGCTTCGCCTTGAACCAGTGCCAAATAAGGCGCAGAAGCCGCTGATCTCGGGTGGCAATTTTTAATGCCAGCAGCACACATTGTATGTCAATTACTGTTTTTATTGCCTACCATTCTTCCTTGTTGTTGTTGTCGTTGTGTTGCTTGATTGTGAATCAGCTGCAGGCAGCATCTTTGTTTCAAGCGGCGCTTTGCTTTCTGCTTTTGTTCCGCCGCATAAGGTGAAACGGGGCGAACAAAGCAAAGCTTAACTCCCGTCTCAATTGGTATCGCGCTCTCTCTCCCTCTCTCACGCAATCACAATTGCGTTGACGGCGCCAGCGGACAGCGGACAATTAATAAATAAGAAAGAAAAAACAAATGCAAATTGAACGCATGATTTTTTTATGATGGCCAAGTGAAAATGAAAATTGTCGCGCAATTTGTTTTGGCGCTCTATAGCGAGATAACGTCTGTCTACGCACCTAAACATGTTTAAAAGCTGCCACCTCCCTCCCCCTTTTGGGGTTGCTGTGCGTATGCGCAATTTCAAGTTTTACAGCGATTCGATCAAATTTCACTTTTTATGTGATCTCAATTTTATTTGTCTAACAGACTACTTACATACAAACATACACATATACTTAAGTGCAGGCATACACACACACACACTATGTGGCTGCAGTAAATTTCAACTGCGGTGACCTCTCGAATCTAATGAGAAAGAAGAAAGGTAAATTAATTGAGCGTTGGGCGTGTAGGTGGAAAATTTCGCTGGCACTTTATTTTTGTTTTTTTTTATTTTTAATTTGTTTTTTTTTTTTTATTTTTTTTTAGCGTGGGTCTCAGCTTATTAAGTCTTAATGCTTTTGAGTTCAGTGCACTTACACTGTCGACATATATGTAAGTATAGAAACAACAGTTATCTTTAGTCTATACGCACTTTGCTACATATTGATTTATAGCCTTACATCAGACATTGCTTCATGAAAAGATAAGCTAGTAACAAAGAAGTCGCATGATTCTTCTTGCTCATTCACTCCCTCAAATACCGACCTACCTATTTGTTATTTTCTCCAATGCGAGTCTAATCTAAGCGGATGATTTCATTAAAACAACAACAACGAAACAGCATACAAAGGAAATACCCCAATTGAGCTGTGGGATATTTTTCAACGTCGCCAAAAATAATGCTCAACACCATACTTGCTCTCTCTCTGCCTCTTTGCATTCGTTTGACCCTAAGAGCGCCATGTACCGGTTTACCTAACAACCGTTTTTACTTTAAAATGCTTTTTGAATTTTAACCGTTTGTGGCGAACAACAAGAAAGTGTCACAATTGTTATCTCACTCGCACTTACATATGCAAGCAAGCAAAACCGCCTAGAGCAGCTTCCCTTGCGGAAAAAAGGTAAAGAGCACAGCTGTCAATGTCGCACTGTGGGCAATTGAAGTATAATCAAATTGTTAGTTTTGATATGCAACGAACATTCATATATACACATATTAAATAATAATTATTATTTGCTATCTAGTTCTTCTATGCTTAAAATTGTATTTCTTAGTTTTTGCAGTCAGTTGGAGTATGAGTATGAGTACGAGTTTGAGTGAGTGACTTTACTTTCATCATATATTTACTGAAAGTTTCCCATTGTGCCGCTTCTCCTGCGATCGACTACAAAGCAGCCTGGTGGGCGCCTCAGTCGCTCAGTCGTTAGAGTTGCGCCAACACGATCGTTACATTGCGCTGTGCGCCGTAATAAAATAAAGTTCAAAGAGTGCAAGTAGATAAAAAAGTGCTGTTCAATACATTTAGTTTGTGTTAAAGTGAACTAATAAAGTAGTTATTTTATTTTGGATGTCTTATTAAGGTGTACGTGGGATACTCTGTGAATATTTGTATTTAATAAATCTGGTAAGTACAAAAAAAAGGAAAGAAAAAAGCAGCAATTGGAAACTGGAAAAAGTTTTATCCGGTTCGTTGCAGTCCCTTTTTCTCTGCTGCTGCTGCTGCGCAATTGCATTAGCAACAGCAACAACAACAATTACAGCTGCAAAACGCCGACGCCAATAACTTTGCAGCTCTTTACAATTCAATGTTTTTGTTGTTGGTTTTGCTGTCGTTGCCCCTGACAGCAGGCGCTGCTTTTTCCTTTTCCTTTTTGGCCCACGCTTTGTTGCTTCCAATTTTCAGTGCAGTTCTTTTCGATGTTGTTGCTTTTGCTCTTATTTTATAGTAATGAGCGAGTGCTTGTTATAGCTGCCGCTGTTACGGCCTGTCACTCTTCTTATTGGCATTACTCTTTGTTTGCCGATGTTCTGTTCCTTGCGCAGTTTTTTTTCCCCTGCAAGGGCGTCTCTCTCGAACGTTTTATGCATTCGCTTGACACTGTGGGCAGTTTTTGTAACGGAGTAGCGTATGTGCTTAACGAGGGGTGTTTAATTAATATATATTTTAATATATTATATTAAAAAATATATATATATTCATATATGTTTATTGATTTATTAATTTGTTTAATTAGTATTAACTTAATGTAAAATTAAAAGAACTCTAATTATTGGAACTTCTATTGTGACTTAAAAAAGTAAACATATATAGGTAGAGAGCATTCAATTTTGCGAACTGCGAAGTGGGACAAATAAGTTAAAACGATATATTGCTTACTTTTAGTGCTCAAATCTTCAAATATATATAGCTTAAATATTTTTTACAAATTATTTATTTTAATTATTTGTTTTGTTTGCTTTTCAATTTATTTTCATTTACAGTAACAAGTCTTTCTCTTATATTTTCGTCTAATTCCCAAACAACAAAAACTAAAATGGAGACCACTACCGTTAACAACGAAGGTAAGTTCTTCACTTGCTTTTCATATTTTCCACACTTCTTGAAAGTGTGCGCCGTATTATGAATTTTCCTTTGACCGGCTTTAGTTGAGATTCTTTATTTTTGTTGTTGTTTACGTTTTGTGATTTCTTAGTGCGAGCTGAACAACAATTGTTTTGAATCCCACAACAAGTTCGCTATTCGATTTTGTTTTCTTTTTTGCATCTTGTGCTGCTCTTTTATAGTGTGGGCGGAACAAAAGATGCCACGCCTCGTTGCGTTGCAGATGGGAGTTCAACAATAGAATACTCTAGCACAGGGCATATGCGTTCCAGGAGAATTGTAACTAGGAATTTACACTAAGATAGAAGTGCCTTCAGCATCATATGAGCTGTGCTTATCTGTAATGAATCTGAATTTACATAACTTTAATATAGGGTATTTTAAGCTATACTACTCCACAAATAACGGCGCTTTCTTGTTTTAGTTTTTAGCTAGCCGAGGACTGGGCTGCATTTGCATAGCAATCATAAAAATGCAAGGCAAATAAAATGAAATTCATGCGCTGTGCACTTTTTGGCATTAAGCTGCATTGTGTTGTTGTGCGGTAAAAGTATCTGCTGGATGCAAAATGCTATGCAAAACGATGGCGCCGCAGTTGCAGTTGTAGTTGCTGCAACTGCCGCTGCTACTGCTCTTGCTGTTTGTTGCAAGTCGAGTGGCATAGATTACGCGCTATTGTAGCCTAAATGCGTTGAATGCGCATTCAACGGATACACGACAACAACAAACTGCACAAATATCTCTAAAGCGTCTGCTCGCTTGCGTAAAGTTGCAACTGTATCTGGGAAAAAAGAGCACTCATACAGTCATCCCCCCACCGACGGCCACCGGCCGTGCTATTGTGACAAGTTTATTGGAAATGACGTGAAGTGTTTAGGACGTCGTTGCCTCTCGCTTGGCTTGTCTCCGCATTATTATCTATGCAGCCTTCCTGCACTGCGCTCTACGCCTTACGCTCCCAGCTCTACCTTGCATTGAATATATTGTATGGATATATAAGTAAATGCACAGATTCGATGCCAAAGGCGTTTTTATCATCATGGAAGTTTCTGCTGAGTGCTGCTTCGTTTAGCTGAAAGCAGTCGAAAAGATGACGTAGTATCTATAGTCAGATAACTTAAGTATTATCTAATTTCTACTGAATAGGAGTGAACTACATGACTCAACTGTTTACAGCGTCTCTTAGATTATTATAGACGATAAACAGAAATAACAAAGAAATTAGTAATACACACGTCAGTTCAGATACCCTTTAAAATATTATCTACTAGTAATTGTAGATAAATATTGGATATTGTATATATGTAATTAAGATATATCTCTCTGTCTTGATATTTGGCCTCTATACTATATGAATAAGCATGAGTGTTGTCATTTATTATATCCTTTAATTATATTACAGGTATACCTTTACTTATGTCTATCTAGTATAAGCTATATTACCGAAGATCTACTGGTATCTTTAACATCTTTATTGTATTATTTTTATTTTGTTTATTTGTATATACGAACAATTTTAGTTAGTTAAAGAAAAAGCTAAAACTAGTTTTATCTTCAACGTCATCTCAAAATTGTATAGTACCCACCTGTCGAACCCCACTTGGTTGCCGACACCCCTGCCTACGAGTATTTGTGGCGCTACTTGACGAAGACGCCCTTTTTTGGGTATTCAAAATGTTATGTGGCTGACTTTGTAAAGTGTCTGGCATTTATTGTTGCTTGTTAACTATTGCCTGTTGCTGACGGTTGTTGCACTTGCAGTTAATGCACTCGACGTGCTCGTTAGCTGCCTGTTGGGTCTAATGGCATGCAAATCTTTGCTGACAGTTCCGCTACCGGGTCAAAATACGTAACCCAAACTTACTTCAGACACCCACACCTACACCCCCCAGCCACACAGCCGCACAACCTCACCATGAACTTCCACTTAGCCAGTGTCGTCTGGCAGTTGCAGTTTGATTAAACTATTTCCATTGATTGTCAAGTTTGGTTTCGAAAAACTAAACTGCCGTAAAAATTGATTGCTTTGGGAGTAACTTTCTGCCCAAGGTTCAAGTTGGCCATGTGAAAGCAAAATAAATTTGTCTTGCAATTTATTGTCGCTTGTTTGTGTATTGCGAGTTGAAAGTTCATGCAGTTTATTTTGTCCAGACTCTCTGAAATAAAGACGCGTGTTCTAAGCTCTATTGAGC